CGTGGTCTCCCAGGAGGCACATCTCAAGCTGGTTTGTGAGCGTGCGGCCGGCCGTGCGTGAGCTCTGTTCGGATCAGGGTAGAAATGTAATACCAGGAAAAATAGGAGCTTTCGTATGATGGGAAAAACATACAAAAGGGATTACAGTCAAATATAAACCTGAAACACCCAGTGTTATAAAATCTGCCCAGTACTCAGTTTGTGACCGTGGGGACAGTTAATTAATTTTCCTGCACCATGGAGAAAACCGCTTAGAGAGCAAAATGTGTCCCAGCCTCAAAAAAAAAGGTGGCCTTTCAGCAAAAATGGGAATGAGCCAGCCCCTCTTTCTGCCACCTGGGCAGCTGGGGCCCTTCAGTCCCTTGGTCTGAGGTTTTTGCCTTATTTTTGTCCCATGCTTGTGTGGGAACCCTCTTGCAGCGGGGCCAGGCATCCTTTCATGCAGGGAAAAGCAAAGTTTGGTAGGAGGAGGAGGGCTGTACACGCACCACCATCACACAGGTGGTAGAGTGAACAGAGAAGTCACTCTTGGAGTGACTTGGGAGATCCCCAGACGTCCAAGGTTCAAGGGAGCACTTTTATCTTAAGATTTGACAGCTGAGGATTTGATGTGAGGTTTATACTGCTCCCCTTCCTAAAACGTGGTTGAAAAAAGAAATTGTGGCATTGCTTTCATAGTGAGCTCCATAAATGCACTGTATAAAAACTGGGTTTTGTCCTGTACCAGTTGTGTGGTCCTTTGCAGAATGAGCTAGAAGAGCAAATCCACTGCTGCGATGGCTAAAGAGCACTTTTGCCAGCCTACATTTGCCTTAAAGAAATCCCTTCCTCTCTGCATCTTCCTGTTAAAATGGTACCCGCAGTGATTTGCAGAGAATGTGGTAGTAAGGTCTGGATGTTTATGAGATTTGTATGAGCATGACAGCTAATGCAGGTTATTTCAGATGGGATCTAAGCAGCCAGAACCATCTCTTCTGTAAACTGGAAAAGGTTCTTATGCCACTATAGCCATCCAACGAGTATGCTAATGGCCTACTTACACTGTTCAGTGCAGGATGGCCACACCTCCCATGCTTGCTTCTTGCTGGCAGGGCTGAGTTTTCCCTGGATTTGTGTTGATGTCATGTTCTGTGATACGGATGTATGCCTGTATTTCCGTACATTGCTCCCCTGCTCCCATGTTCTCACACTGTTTCCCTGCCGCTTTGATGACTTTTGAATTAAACCATTGTGATCCCAAGCTTGTTCACTTCTGATTTGGGACATTTACCTGTAGAAGGTAGTAGGGAGAGGTTTCTTTGGTTTGGATTTTTTTTGTCATTTTGACTGAATCTTGAGGGAGGGTTTGTCTTTCACTGCACATACGTGCAGCTTCTGACACAACAGCTGCAATAAAGCCCATCTTGCAGGCACTACTCTGGTACATGCTGTATTCTCTGGCTACCTGCATGCAGCGCCTAGTCACGTTATTGGCAGGAGCTTTCCATGGCTGCTATAAAGTGCCAAAAATAGGGAGGAAAAGCGTTGAGGGAGTTGTTAGGGCTCTCCCAGCATCTCCTCCAGGGCTGGAGTAGGTGGGATGGTGCAAGGATGCAGGAGGCCCTCTCCGACTCAGAATTTTTTCCCCTTTCAATGCCAGCCGGATCAACGAGAAGTCGGTGTGGTGCTGTGGCTGGCTACCCTGCACGCCGCTGCGCATCGCCGCCACTGCCGGCCACGGCCCCTGCGTCGACTTCCTCCTCCGCAAAGGGGCCGAGATCGATCTGGTGGATGTGAAGGGGCAGACCGCCCTCTACGTAGCTGTGGTCAACGGGCACCTGGAGTGTGCCAAGATCCTCCTGGAAGCTGGGGCTGACCCCAATGGCAGCCGGCACCACCGCAGCACCCCCGTCTATCATGCAGCACGCGTGGGCCGGGCAGACATCCTCCGGGAACTGATCAGGTGAGAGCTTGGGTTCATGCTGGAGATGGTCCTGGTGGGGAGAGGAGTTGCTCTACTACCCTCTCTTCCTCCCTTGGGATCTTTTTTTCCCCACGGGGCTCAGAGCATCTGTTCCCTTCTTGCATGCCCAGTGCCTCCATATGCCTGGTGAAGCTGGCCAAGAGATGGACAGGAGAGAGGGTGGAGAGGGGCCCAAAGGGACATCCTTGGGTTCCCCATTACTTGACCCTGGCAACAGGTCTGTGTGGCTCCCATGCCTGTTCTAGCCCCACTAGTCAGGCAGAACTGAATCTTACAAAGCATCTTCTCCCCTGCCTTCATCTTGACTGCCAGCTCCGTGCCTCTGGCTGAATTTATGAGTGAGGTGGGTACCCGAGTGAACCAAAAGTTGTTTGAAAACACACCTCTCCTTTGTATAGATCTGCTGCTCTGACAGTTTTCTGTCCTTGAGAGAAGAGATGCTTGTCACTGGCACTGGCTGTTCTTGCCTTGCTGGTGTTTGCCCATCACTGGGACACCCTCCATGGCATCTGATCCAAGTCTCCCCTTGGCAGACACCTGATGCACAGCTCCATCGAAGAGGTGGCATCTCTGGGGCAGAGAGTGACAGCCATCACTATGAGGTGATGAATGTAACTGTATGTGGGTGTTGGGTGACTGGTGACCTCAGGAGACATCCTCTGCAGCACCAGCAGTGAGTGGACTCAAGGTCTAGCAGCAGGCTGTGCAAACTTGAGTTTCTTCCTCTGTGGCATGCCGTCATACTTCCTTGCTTCTAAATTGGAAGCTTTTTGTATAAGAAACCATGTTGAGCAACTATATGGGCCACTGACACCAAATAATAAGGGATCACAAGGGGAAAATACAGGTAAAAAGAACTAGTAAAAGAGAAGAAGGTGTGTGTGGATTCGCACAGAAACACACTCTGAGGAATCCTTTCAATGACCTTCAAATGCTAGAAAACAACAACCGAAAGGATTTGAATAGAAGAATTTCAAAATACTTGGGGATTTTCTCCTTTTTTTGGCTTAAGTTAATTTTTATACAAGTGCAGCTTTAAGGAAGCTGTCCAGTAGAGAAGGGGAGATGGTCTCCCCTCCTTGCCCCTTTCTCAGCAAGCTGAGGGAAGGATGTCCCCATCGCTGTGTGCTTGTTGGTACAGGGTTCAGCTCACATGCTGCATTCCCGAGAATCTCCCCTGATAAATGCGCTAAGGCAGGGTGAAATGTAGCAAATGGTATTTCAGCAGCACATGGAGAGCTGATGCATTGATTTATGTGTCTACTCCTCGGGATACCTTGCCAGCAATATTAAAAGCAAGGTTTTGGAAAACTTTCAGGATTAAAAATTAACTGGAGTTTGTCCAATATCTTTTTATTAGACAATGTCTCTCCCAAGGCTGCTAAGCTAACACCAAATTGTCAGATTGCCCAAAATTTCAAATATCTCAGAGTACAGATTTCATAGATCTGTTCAGAGTTGCTTACTTTAAAATGCAGTCTTACTCACTTGTTGATCTACAGGATTTGGCAGGGGGAATGTGATGAGGCAGACACGTCTGCTGAGGTATAAGGAGAAATATTTCAGCATATTCAGCTCGAGAAGGCCTCAGTGTCCTGAAAAGAAAGTCCAACCCAGTTCAGGCTTGCTGCAGGTGTCTAAACATCACCTGGTGATTTATTTTTTTTTAAATTATATGGTAGCAAAATCAGGATTTCTGAATCCTACCGCAATTGCTGAACCCGCTAGCTAAGCAGTAGGTGAAATTGTATCCATTAATAGTAAATGCACACGTAGCTATTGGAATGATGATCCTTTTTATAAGACAGCTGGTGGAAATATTTATGGTTATATTGCCAGGGTATGGATTACTTTCCTAACAGGTTGTGATGTGATTGGGCTGCGACAGGATCAGACGGTTCCTTTGTACTTGCAGCGTAACTGAGGGCTGATTCAGTGTATTAAGGACAAGAGGATCCTTTTGCCACATTAAAACGATGAAAAAGAGATCTGACAAATCATTTTATTGCCTCAAGGGCATGCCTATCTGTGATAAAAGCAGAATTTTGTATTTTGCTTTGAATTGGTGGTTTCTACTGAGAGTTTTGATGACATTAATGGAAAGAAAAGGACTGAAATTAAGGGGTCATAGAATCATAGAATGGTTTGAGTATGAAGGGACTGTAAACACCGTCTAGTTCCACTGTCTTTGCCATGGGCAGGGACACCTCCCACCAGACCAGGTTGCCCAAAGCCCTGTCCAACCTGGCCTTGAACACTTCCAGGGAGGGGACATCCACAGCTTCCCTGGGCAACCTGTGCCAGTGTCTCACCACCCTCACAGTAAAGAATTTCTTCCTAATATCTAGTTTAAATCTACCCTGTTCCAGTTTAAAACCATTATCCCATGTCATATCACTACATGCCCTTGTAAACAGTCCCTTCCCAGCTTTCTTTAGACCTACTTCAGGTACTGGAAGCTCCTTTAAGGTCTCTCCAGAGCCTTCTCTTCTCCAGGCTGAACAGCCCCAACTCTCTCAGCCTGTCCCCACTGGGAAGGTTCTCCAGCCCCTGATCATCTTCATGGTCTCCTCTGGACCCACTCCCAACAGCTCCATGTCCTCCTTTTGTTGGGGACTCCAGAGCTGGACACAGCACTGCAGGTGGGGTCTCATGAGAGCGCAGTAGAGGAGGCAGAATCCCTTCCCTTGCCCTGCTGGCCACACTTCTTTTGATGCAGCCCAGGACGCAGTTGGGTGCCTGGGCTGCAAGTGCATGCTGCTGGCTTATGTTGAGCTTCTCATCAACCAACACCCCCAAGTCACAGAATCACAGAATGGTTGGAAGGGATCTCTAAAGATCATCCAGTCCAACCCCCCTGCTAGAGCAGGATCACTCAGAGAAGATCACATAGGAACATGTCCAGTTGGATTTTTAGTGTTTCCAGAGAAGGAGACTCCACAGCCTCTCAGGGCAGCCTGGGCCAGTGCTCTTGTCACTCTGACAGTAAAGAAGTGTTTCCTTACGTTTAGGTTGAACCTCCTGTGTTTAGTCCTTTTCCTCTGGGCTGTTCTCAATCCGTTCTCCGCCCAGCCTGTGTTTGTGTTTGGGGTTGCCCCTACCCAGGTGCAGGACCTTGCACTTGACCTTGTTGAACTTCATATGGTTGGCACAGGCCCACCTCTCCAGCCTGTCCAGGTCCCTCTGGATGGTTTCCCTTCCCTCCAGCGTGTCGACCACTCCACATAGCTTGGTGTCCTCAGGAAACTTGCTGAGGGTACACTCGATCCCACGTCCCTCTCGCTGACAAAGATTTTCAATAGCACTGGTCCCAATAATGGCGCCGAGGAATACCAGCTCGCACCTGGCAGTGTTGCCCAGCTCCATCCTGTTCCTGCATTTTTCCACCCCACTGGTCATCTGAGATCTCAGCCAAGATGTTAATGCTTGGGAGATATTGTGTGTTTGGGTAAAAATACACAGCATGCCATTTGCAGCTCTTAGAAAAGTTTCCTTGGCCCTTGTTCTGTGTGTGCTTAATTTGAATGAGACTATTCCCATCCTCAGAATTGAAGCATTTGGTTTAAGTCTTTGCTGGATAGGGACCAGCCCCTAGTGGGTTCAGTGAGAGCTGTGCTTGCCTTGAGGCAGGATTTGTCCCCAGGTGGTTTCTTTATTTGTTTTATTAACTGCAGAAAGGAATACAATGCTGTCTAGGTATACAGAGAAATCTGGTTCTCTGAATGGTCAGTTTGGAGTTTTGGAAGGGGCACTGGTGGGTAAAGGAACCGTTTATCTCTCGAGGGGGGGAGAATGGGCAGGACTTTCCTTCATCTGCAGTGCTGCAGTTAAAACCAGCTTCTCCTTAGGGGATTGTGTTGTCTTCCTCCTTGTTCTTGTCCAAGCTGCCTGTGAAGTAGATGGAGTTAGTGTCCCCGCTGCTTGAGTGTTACCCCCAGCCTGGGGCAAATAAGTGCTTATTTCTGCCATCCCTTCTTTCCACAGCATTTCCATTTTTCAAATTTCGTGCTTTTCCAGAGAGTAACACTTGGCCTTCTTGCTCCTATTTATTTGCCCCTCATTCTTCACATCCTACAAAAAAAAAAGAACTGAAGCCAATAAGCCCTGTTTTCTGCTCATTCAGAATTTAGTGCCATCTTTTCTTACCAAAAAGAAATAAGCTGCAGGCACTGCTTCTGTTTCATCGTGATGCTGAAGTCCGTTGAGCAGGGCTTTAGCCTGCTCGCAGGCCGCCTCTGCACCACAGCAAGGCTGAGCCTGCTTTGCTTTGGCCGCAGAGCATATGGAACAGTGAGGACACCATGGCACCATGCAGTGAAGATATGAGGGATGGGTTTTTCTGTGGGGCAGGGTGAGGCAGGAGCCAGTTGCAAAAGGCTCGAGAGGTTTGCTGCTGCAGCTCGTGGAGGTCTCTGCTTCAGCGCCTGGAGTGCTGGCCAGTGAACCGTAATCTGTCGTGCAGTATCTGGTATCATATATAACCCGTGAATGGAGCTGTGCAGGTTGGATGGAGAGAGCGGAAGGTCTGACACAATTATTTTGTGTTTTTCCAGTTTCCTGTGTGCTCAGAGTTGGCGGGTACATCCCTTCAGCTGAACTGAATAGTAGGGAAAAGGCCTCTTTCTGACTCCCCAGTGGGCGTTCTGATGGGATTTCAACCACCCCAGCTCCTTTGGGAGCAGGATTTTGTCGTATATGTTTCACGGCTAAGTGCAGATATCTGTTTCCATTTCCCTGCTGTTCATGACAGTCTGATCAATTGCCTGTATTGCTTTTTGTCCTGTTTTATCCTGGTGGGGAAGTTACTTCACTGCATCTCCTCAACCGAGCCATTTGGAAACAGCCCCACTTCCCAGCCAGCTCATTAGTATCCAGCATTACGTGATGCTGGCTCAGGGCAGAGCTGTCCCTTGTGCCAAGACTGTGCTTGGCACATCCTTCATGAGGGCAAGGGAAGGCGTTCCTCAGCTGCTCTCTACTTGCTTCTTGAAGAGCAGACTGTGCTGGATATAGCATCCCCACTCAGAAGCCCTGCCAGGCCCATCTGAGAGTAGATATGAGCAGTTCTTGGGTGGTGGGTCCCTGAGGTACCAAGGACAGACAGGGTGCTCGCCATCCAGGTGTCCTTCAGTCTCATCCCCCACTATTTTGTGCCCCTGAGTTGCAGTTGTGGTGCTGTTGCCCTTGTTTCCCAACCTCTGCTCTTTTTTCTCCCCCACCCAGGTACGGCGCAGATGTGGACGTGAATCACCACCTCCCTTCCCGAGTCCCCAGCCTCTCCCTGCGGCCCCTCACCACGTTGGTGGTCTGCCCGCTCTACATCAGCGCTGCCTACCACAACCTCCAGTGCTTCCGGCTGCTGCTCCAGGCAGGAGCCAACCCAGATTTTAACTGTTGTGGGCCCATCAACATCCAAGGCTTCTCTCGGGGCTCCCCGGTGTGTGTGATGGACGCTGTCCTGCGGCACGGTTGTGAAGCGGCGTTCGTCCACCTCTTGATTGACTTTGGAGCCAATCTGAACCTGGTGAAAGCAGAGGCCTTGGGGGTGGAATCCACAGGAAGGGTCAAAATCAACCCTGAGGCTCTGCAGGTGTTCAAAGAAGCAAGGGGTAAGTAGCATTGACTCACTGCAGTGCTGCTGGTTTTATCTAGCTCTGGACTCAAGGGAGCTCTTTGGAAAGTGTATTTGGTAATTAGGGGCTGTTAAGGTCACAGTGTGGGTGTTACAGTCCCCTTTTGGGTCTCTTTGTTGGAGTGCCTATAGCCAAGTGCAAAAAGACCCTGTACACAGGTTATGCCTAATTTAGCAGTTTAAAGCAGATCTAACACACAGAAAAGATAACTGGGATTTAATAAGCTGTTAAGCTAAGGATTAGTGACTTCACCACCCCTGATACAGCTCCCAAAGAGCTGTTGCTGACCAGGCAAGCATCAGTCAGGAGAAGACCACGGTGCTGGCCTCTGTGGCTCCCTAGCACAGATTGTCGGTGTTGCCGAGCTGCTGCCTGCCTCCAGCTCTGTCAACACTGATGGCTCGACCCAATGGCTTCCCCATAAGCCTCCAGCTAGACTCCCCATGTTTCTTCTCATGTATTTTGTGTGTTCACGTGGTGTTTTCCCTCTTGAGTCCTTGAGCTACCAATGATACCTGTCTCAGCAGCCCAGCCTCTGTAACTTTACCTTTTTTATCTTTCTCCCAGCTTTTTTCCGTTGCCTAACCATGTTCTCAGCAGCCTGAGGCAAGGTTTAGGCAGTGGGATCCTATCAGAGCTGAGCTTTGGGTCTGTGAACCACAGTCAGGGTATGGCATATTCAGTCAGACCCAGTTCTCCAAAGCCATGTGGATATTTCCTCACTGTTCTTGAGTGACTCTGTGCTTTGCGAGGGGAGGGCAGGGAGGCACCCAAGAGGTAGTTGTGTCTGCACAGGCTCCTTGGGTAGTAAAGCCACAAATGGTGGTAGCAAGTGGCAGAGGGAGCTCAAATGGTGGGGGGAAAAAGCTGGCTTTTTGAATTTAACATCCCCTGGAAAGCAAATGAGTTTCAAGAGAAGTAAACCAGAGCCTCAGACCTGAACATGCCTAAATTTACCTTCTATTTCTTTCTTTTTATAACAAAAGCAATACCAATATAGTGTGCACCCTTGTTTTCCAGCGAGGGCAGCACCTCGTAAAACCACCAGGCTCAGCTGGTGAAGGCCAGAGCTTTGCACCAGGTTCGGAAGTGGTGTTTCCCTCTTGAACTCCAGAGAAATTTGAAAGGGATTCAGGCTGTGGGATACAACCCCCAGCCCCCACCCTAAAGTTATTCAGCATTGCCTGTGCCTGGTTTTAAAGCTGCCTGGACTTCTGCTGAGAAGAGGTGCACATAAGCCAGAACAGGTGGTTTCCATTAAGCCTGAGTTTAGGAGGCAAAGGGGACTCCTCAGGTAGAGCGTGCAGGTTAATGGAGAGGTGCCTTGGAGATCCAGTTCCTGAATCAACATGGACACCACCATCCTCTTGTCCCTGTGCTGGAGGAGGTCACGATGAACTCAAAAAGAAGCCCTCGAAAGAAAGTTGAGATAAGGCCTGAGCTGACCATCAGTGCTGTTGATTTTCAGGGGATAGTTTAGGGCAAAAACGAAGTCCACATAATTTTAAAATTATTCAGATAGTATAAAGCCTCTCACAGGGTGGATTTGGCAGTGATCTCTTGAACCCTTTCATGCAGGGACTGGCTCCATGGTCACAACCCCATGCAATCTCCAGCTGGCCCTTCCAAACTGCTCATGTGGCAGCCGTTGTTGCTCCAAGTCTTTGGCCAAAAGGTTTGGCCTCCTCACGGGGAGGATTTGTGCACGCTCAGCTCTCCTGCACTGCCTTCGTGTTGCTACGCAGGACGTGGCCTCAGAGTTTGGAAGGAGTAAATGGCTCCTCAGCTGTCAGCCAGAGCTCAGCACAATTTACATGCTGTTATCCCTCTCTCTTCCTCTCTCTGTCCCTCAGTAGTTTTTCTCTGCTTTCTTCATTGCAGGCCACACCCGGAGCCTCTTGTCTCTCTGCCGCATAGCTGTGCGAAGAATACTTGGCAAATCTCGGCTGGATCTGATCCATATCCTTCCAATTCCAGACCCCATTAAACAATTTTTACTTCACGAACACAGTTAAAGAGCAACTGGCTTCTTTCCGGGACGGTTTGATTTGGTAAATGAGTGTGCTGATAAAGCCAGGTGCCAATCCTAACCCTTCCCCACAGTGAAATACTGTGTTGCTCATAGAGTGCACTTAATTCCCTGTCCCTGTGATTTTCCACTCCAGATTTAGGGTGCAGTGATTCTGTGTGTCTATTCTTAAGCTACCAGTTATCTAACTGGTGATCTCTTGTTTGCAACTGGTTGGGCGATGACGGCCAATAAGTGTGTGTGGCTATTACATGAGCAAATACAATATATCCTCTAGCTGCTAGCGTATGTCTGTCTGTCATGACTCTACCTCTGTGATTGCTCTGTGTTGCACACACCTTGGGTCTCAGTGGCACTTCTGTGTGGGGCAAGTGTCCGTATTTAAGCCTTTTCTCTTCCTACAGTGTCTAAGGGAGTCTCCACGCCTTGTTAAGGGTTTTACAACAGCACTGTTCTCTTTCTGCTGTCGGTATCCGGCCTTTCTCTTCCATGTGAAGTTCGTGGTTGCTGCTGTAAGAGCGGGTGTGTTTTCTTCTGTCCTTCTCTGGTGTGAAATGCATCAAGTTTCCTGTCCGGTACTGCGCGTTACTTGGAAAATTGTATTCGTGTCTCTGCGTGCTGCAAGGTAGCTGCTGACTTGGCTTTCTTCGTGTAGAGGCCCCATCGTGCAGATGGGAAAGTATCAGGATATGTAATCCTGTCCCGTCCGAGTGGTTTTCTACAGAGCACCAGATCTGCCGTGGCAGCTTGGCTCTCCCTCCAGCACTGTGATGGACAAAGCAGGGGCCGGCCGGTCCTTCTCCCGACTGACTGGGACCAAGTCGAGCCTCGTGACCACTGCCACAGCACGAATGAGAAGGCGTGGAGAGAAGAGGACAAGGTAGTTTCGCCTCTGGAGACTGATAGCTACACAGCCTGTGGTGGGGGTGTGATCCCTGTGGCTTAGTCCCCACTGCAGTGGTGGTGGGGCAAGGACTGTGATAGTCAAATGAAGCCAGCATGTGAACCTGAAAGATTTCTGGTATACTTTGTGGAAAAGCAATGGCTTAATTTGTCTTCTGTTCACTGTAAAAGAGATTTGAATATTTGAGAGCGATCAGGATCTAGAGTGGAGGGGTATTGCTAAATTAAACTGTTGTGTTGCTGTGCTGGCTGGTAGTCGGTGCAATGCCTGGGAATATACCTGTGTGATTATGAAGAAAAAAACACTAAAATGATCTCTGGACTACCTGCTTGGATTATTGCAGTGATTATGATGTTACTGAAGACCCAGTGAAGTAGCTGACAATGCACAGCACATAGAAATACAAGTTCCTACCTACCTTTTACTCCATATGCCACGGTGGAGGTATGGCCAGAGAAACCCCTCCCAGATCCACTTAACAGGTCTTTTAGTTTGCATGCGGCTTCCACCGGCATTGTGGAAAGGGAGAAGAAAGGACTCTTGTCTTTTCTTGAAGACTTAGGAGGTTACTTGCTTCTAAATCCAGTGTTGCATCCTGCAGCCTGGGCTCCTTTGATTTCCAGTGCCTCTGCATTGCTGTTTACCTTCATGTCACAAGCTCACAGAAGGTCATTCTGCAGCGAGTCCACAGCCTTTCATCAGGATCTCAGGGTCAGCCAACTCCTTAAAGGTAGCAACGTAGTCATATAGGAAACATTGTCAAAATAGCAACTTTAGAAGGACAGAGATGATAGTCCCTTAGGATCTTAGGTAAAAAAACCCCAATCAACCCATAGGAAAAAATTCAAACAACCCAAGTAATAATTGCTACTTGCTTTACTGATCCAAGTTCTTTTTAGTCCCTGTGTAATAGGTTGATTTTTTTGACATTTTTTCTTTGCCAGATGTTCTTCCCATGCCCATGCAGTTGACAAAGGTATTTTTCTGGATGTGATCCTAAAGATGTTGGCCGTTTATTTGTTGTATGGTATTAGTGCCTTGTTGAGACTGGAGTTAAGCATGGGATGGCATGGACGGTAAGACAGCCCCTCCTGGGAATGGCATCTAGCTCTGGTTGCTCTTCTCCTTAACCCCCTGGGGTAACAGGGAAGTGGGATTGTTTAAGCTACTTTGCATTTCGGTTTCAGATGCCTTTGGCTGACAACTCTGCTGCTGTAGGAGCAGATCCTTAAGGCTGCCCCATAAGCTTGACCCGTGGACTTGCCCCATAGGTCTTGACACTGGCTCTTTTTCCAGAGGTATCAATGAATGGAAAATCACAGTTCAGTTTCTGGTCCTCCCACTATGGGATGTGTTTAGGGATGTGGGTTTTTTTGCAGTCGATAAGCAATGATGGACTTTCTTGTATGCTTTATTATCTGCTGAAGAACATGTGCCTTTCCAAGATGCTTTCAGAGAAGGAGGAAGGGCAGGAAAACACAGTCCCTGGTTGTTTCCTGTTACTTCAGTTCCTTGGCCAGGCCTGGAAGGTCCAGCTGGCCCCTTACATTGCTCTGCTCATGGATTTTAGGATAAGGTGGCAAAATTTGCACTGCTGCGAACAGACTGAAGTGTGGTGATTACACTCAGTGCTCAGATACCAAAGCAAAGGATACTTTCAGAACCCTCATCAGGTGAGATATAATGGCAGAGGTGTGTAGCTGTAGGCATGCTTTCAAGGTGAGAAGGCAGGAGTTTCGCACTGTTTCCTTTTCAGGCTTGCAGATGTTTTAGGTTTTCACCGTGCTGGAGGCCAGGGCAGCCCATGAGCCTGTTGCCTGGGAGTTGTGTGCTTGCTTTATAGAAGTGTTAACATGCCTGAAAGATGCAAACAGGTTGTAAAGCCTCTTGTCACCTTGCTGGTGGAACCATAATGTTTTGCAGGAGCACGGGCCGAACGTGCTCTCTAGCTCCAGTGTACAGAGGCAGAAAATGAGGTAGGTTGCCTTGAGAAAATGCCTTGGCAACAGCTTCTTTGGGTCAGCTTCTTTCCCCTTGATTTTTTTTTGTTCATACAGTTTTGCAAAGTGGTCACCCATTGGTTCCTTTTGGGTGCAGGTGGCAGGATGGATGTGGAAGGCATATGCTTCTCTGGGGAGAGCTGGCTCCACCTGGATTGAGCTGTGGTGAAATGCCGGTGTGGATGATGGAGGGTGGCCCAAAGAAATTCAGAGAATTTAGTTGTTATGGGCTTGATTGACTCAGTGCCTGATGTAACTGGAGTGTCTAGTTAAAGCTGCAGCAGTGTGCTGAACTTTGTGTGTACCTTTAGTTCTTCTCACCTCGAGCCTGAAGGACTACGTGGGTCTTCAAATCCAACTGATGTGGAGTCCAAAGGATTCCCCTGACCAGGGATATCTCCAGCTCCTGATCCACAGGCCAGTTGGGTTCTCCCAACCCAACAGCAAGCAAACTTGAAGTTCAGCAATCACTTGGACATTTGCAGAATCAAACCTTTGAAGTGCAGGAGACGTTTTTCCTGGACTACCCAACCAGCTCCCATCTTAACTGAGGGACTGTGCCTCCTGCAAAGATCTCAGTGTTACACCTGGATGGTCTCTCTTTTGGCTTGAGGGCCTGAAGGGAGTCCAACTCGGGGACAACTCACACAATATTGAGCTGTAAGTGCAAAGCCTACTGTCACAGCAAGTCCCTGTGGACATTGGTTGCTGAGGTTATGTAAACGCAGCTTTGCCTAAGTGAAGTGGTTTAATGTGCAGACTTAGGAGATCTGGAATTCTCACTGCAGAGATAATGATGAATCTCAAAACAGATTCATGATATTCATAGACCTTAGTGTCCTGTCCTGTAGGGCCAAAACCTGTGTCTTCTGGCTGTCCCTGTCCTTTTAAACCCAAGAAACAACAGTCTTCCAATATGGAATCTGAGTAATATGTGCATATTCTACTTCTTCACGCTATGTAAACAGCATTTATTTTTGCCTTAACTCAGACTTCACCGTTTACTCTCATGTAGCAAAGCATTCTCTTTTGTGAAGGTGTTTTTTTTCCCGTGGTGTCCATGGAGCATGCTCAGATAACATGAGTAATAAATGAATATCATGAATTAATGGGTGGGAAGTTAAACATTCCTGCAGTATACATCCCCTATATTGAAGAATGCCTATTATATTTGTGCATAACCTGTAAAGTGTGCATTCAGTGGGATGCAATAACAAGATTTGGAAAATGGTTAAAGAACCAAAACAGGGAATAAGCAAAGCAGATCCAAAGCAGTCTTTTTCATATGGGCTTTCTTCCTGTCTTTGTTGCTATAGGGGATTTCCAGAGCACAAAATGCCGGTACCCAAATATAATGTCCCGCTCTTTGGGAGTTTTGCAAAAGGCAGAAGAACAGCATCTGTTGGGTTGAAGTGTTTTGTTTTGCTTTCCCATCCCCAAAGTAAAGTAAAGCAAAGCACTTTTTGCGCCAAAACTGGCCTTTGAGGTACATCTCTTCAGCCCTTCCTGTTCCAGTGAAGAAACCGGTGTAAGAACCTGCCCAGGACAGAGTAGAGGTGAGAGAGTCCCACTTCAAGAAGTGCTAATCAGTGGTCTGTTGGTTTTGCCCAGGGGGTAAAATGATTGTGCACGGGAGCAAGATGAGATCTGAGAGCAGCGAGGAGGTATCTGTGGTGGGCCTGGATCCATGTGTAGCTGAATAAAGATGTTCCACTGCAAGAGCATGGCTGTCTGCCTAATTATTTACCTCATCATGGGAAGGAGGGGCAGTGCTCTACAGCAAAGAGCAGGGACTGGCTTTGCAAAAGCCTGGATCCCGCTGGCCTTGGAGGCTGTAGCTGACTCCTCTGCATGTTTTGCAGCCACTGGAGGGGGCCGGAGAACCGTGCTGCTTGCAAGGGGGTTACAGGCAAGCAGGCAGGGACTGGGCAGTGGTTTCCTGCACCACTGCCAACTCCTGCCTTGCCGCCCCTGGACAGTTTTCAGGAGGAATATGACAGCCAAGCCATTGTGAATGTGCAGAGGAGCCCCCCCCTCTGGAGCCTCTGTCACAAGCTCGCATGTCCTCGGCAGTGCTGGCCAGCCCTTTCCTCAGGGAGCCATGGCAGCTTGTGGCAGTGCAAGGTGGCTGCTGTCACCCACTGCCGCTTAGAGCGGTCCAAAGCTCTTG